CTATTTAACATTCTAATATTTATAGTTTTTTATTCTTAAATTTGACTTGATAATATGATATTATATTTTATTTTCTTAACTTCAGAATTATCCTCGATCCCATTATTTTAATATTTTATTTTATGACTAAAATCAATAATTAGTTTACATCTTATTTTTTACTTGGATTTTGCAGTAAATTTTCATGGGGATTACGTGACTACATGTAACACCCAATTTATTATTTTTGTTTTTTTTCTTATTATTTTTATATATATTGGAATTTTAGTTTAATTTTTTAATATTTAGTTTATAATGTTTTAATTTAATTTAATGAAAATAAAAATAATAATAATGATAAAATAGGGTAAAATTATTTTTGGGATTTAATTGAAATTGATTTTGGAAAAAATGGGTGAAAATTTAGATTCTGGGTGTGTTTTTGAAAAGAAAATCAGAAACCAGGGGTCAAAATGCAATTTAGAAAAGTTGCACCACGTCAGCAGTCACGTTAGCAGCCCAGTCAGCGGCCCCGGCCAACCAGAACACGCTGTGTGGTAAGGAAGCTGACGCGGAAGACCACGCGGACGGAGCCGCGTGAGCGATCCGCGTGCACTCGATCGAACTATCCAGATCTCAGGCATGCGGACGGTCCAGATCTTACGCGCACGGACGGTCCAGATCTCACGCGTGCGAACGATCCAGATTGAATCACGCACGGACGGTCCAGATTTATTTCTATTTTAATCGCGATCAGACGATCCAGATTAAAACGTGATAGACGGCTGAGATTAAAAAGGGGAGGTTATAAATAACCTCACCCGCACCCCACCCCAAACCCTAGCCGTCAGTGCCTCGCTGGAGAAGAAGAACCAGACGCCGGAGGAGGCGGCCGCCGCCACCGCACCGGAGGGTTTTTTGACCGCCAAACGATGTAAAATTTCTCCTATTGGCTCATTTTTCGATGCTGAATCCGCCTATGGCCAAATCGGAGCCAAACCACCGGAAAATACTGCCGAAGTTCAGCAGTGCTGCCGCCCGCTTATCTCGATTTTTGCCTCTGATGAGGCCCTTTCCAGTTCCCGTTCGATGCAATTTTTACACCACTGTGATCACCGTTCTTTTCTCTGCAGGTTAACCGGAGCAAAACATCAAACCGCGACTCGTGCTGGAGAAGCCGCTGCACCCGAAAGTACCCCCGCCAGTAAGTCTAGGTTTTTCATCATTTTTTGGTCCACCGAGGGCCCTAGGGTTGTTTTATCGTAGGAACCAATGCAAGTTTAGCCGAATTCGGCTGAAAACGGCCAACCCGGGGCGGATCGCCGCCGCGGGCGGTGGTGCCGTCGTCGGAGCATGGCGGAGCCGCCGTGCCGGAATTCTGATATTGGCCGAAAGGGGCCCTAGGTTTGATTTGGAAATTTTTGGGACATGTGCAGGTACTAGTAGTGCGTTCCAGTTTTCCAGGAAAAATTCAGGGAAATTAGAGACAGTTCATAGGCGCACTGTAGAGCCGATTTCAGATCCCGAAACAAGTAAGGATCTCTCACCCTATCTCCTATCACGACATTAAAGCTTAATAAATGATTAAATGATATTTTATGACTTTATAGATATCTATAATTGATTGAGGTTGCCAATGGAGCCCGAATCTGATATATTGTTGGTCAGTTGTTGTTTGATCTATTTTTCAGTATTAAATGCAGTATGGTATTTGATGTATTTATTTTATAGTTTCGTATGCATGAATCATTATTTTTTTATTATGGTTTGAATTATGGTGAACCCAATGTTGTATTGTTGTTTGCTGTTATTATTGGTTTACGTGTTTGTGTATGA